TGTTCTAAATTGGTGGAAGTTGGATGACCAAAATGGTCAAAACAATTTTAAAAAGCCAGAGCATGTGTTCTTGATTTGTTATTGCACCCTTTTTTCTTCGAGGACAAGAACATTAGGGCATATTTGTTTCATCTTCAGTTTGCACAATTCAGCTGAGTTAGGTTCTCAGATATGTGTTCTACTTTTATAACACCTTGTTAGACTAGATTATGCTATGTGTCTTTTATGTGCATGTTATGTGCATTTTTACATCCTGCTGGAGATAAGCAGTATACCGAGTGTGATTAGGTTCATTGTTTGTCATGTGCGACTCCTGAGTTGGCGTGGGAAGGAGAGTCGGAGGCTGTTCTTTATCTTTAACACAACTTGATTTATTACTAAATAAACTCAAGTCCATTGGTTCAAATGGGTCCATCAAACTAAGTTCAGGTAAATAACGATAACTTTGCACCTTAACATCAGGTGTCTTAATGTCACTTCTTATTGAGGGGCCGGACAAAACGGCTCCCTCGGAATCCAGCTTGTACTTCTGGGAGTTCTCGGTCCACATACTGCTGAAGCCTACCTTGTAGGATTTTGAGCATAACCTTGCTAGCGTGTGAAATGAGTGCAATTGTACGGTAGTTGGAGCATTCTTTGGCACTGCCTTTCTTTGGGATTGGGATGTAGACTGATCTTTTCCAATCCTCTGGCCACTGTTGAGTTTTCCAAACTTGCTGGCATATTGAATGTAGCACCTTAACAGCATCATCTTTCAAGATTTTAAATAGTTCAACTGGAATGCCATCACCTCCACTGGCCTTGTTGTTAGCCAGGCTTTCTAAGGCCCACTTGACTTCGCTCTCCAGGATGTCTGGCTCAAGGTCAGCAACTACATTGTCTGGGTTGTCCGGGATATCCAAATCTTTCTGATATAATTCCTCTGTGTATTCTTGCCACCTCTTCTTGACGTCTTCTGCTTCTGTTAGGTCCTTCCCATTTTTGTCTTTTATCATGTTCATCTTTGCGCAAAATGTTCCTCTAATATCTCCAATTTTCCTGAACAGCTCTCTGGTCTTTCCTTTTCTGTTATCTTCCTCTATTTCTTTGCATTGTTCATTTAAGAAGGCCCTCTTGTCTCTCCTTGCTATTCTTTGGAAGTCTGCATTCAATTTTCTGTAACTTTCCCTATCTCCCTTGCATTTTGTTTCCCTTCTCCTCTCTGCTATTTCTAAGGCCTCGTTGGACAGCCACTTTGCTTTCTTGCATTTCCTACTATTTTTTTATTATTTATTTATTTATTCGATTTCTACCCTGCCCCTCTAGACAACGTCTACAGTACTACCGTCCATTCCAACAGCTCCAAGTCTTCTCCTCTCGCATGTAAGTCCCTGTGATCTGGTAGTAATCCTCCTCCAACTTGGAGGTTAGGGAACTCCTTAAGGAGTGTGGCGAATCCTTCCTGCCCAGCACGCCATTCTGTTTGCACTGCCCAGTCTCTTCTTTCAGGTAGCACGCCCGTTACAATTCTAAAGCTTTGCATGCCTTTTTCCTCTTTTATATCTCCGTCCCACACAATTAAATCCAGCTCCTCCCGGTTTTCGTCGGCCAGGCACACTTTTCTCTCTTCTACTTTCTCTTGTTCTATATCTACCAGTATGCCCGCCACACATCCATGTCCTTCCTCTGTAATCTGCTCCATGGAGGACGGCACACTGGCTCTGTCTCCTTCACACCGAGTCTACTCTCAGGGAATTAATTTAGCACTCCCAGACCATTACACCTCTACATTTTGTGTCCTGTTGTCAGCTATACTGCATGTGCTGGCCACTGCATCTACTCAAAAGAATACATGCAAAAAAAGAAACAGGTTTGCATAGCATATACTAATTTATATGTACGTGTGGAAATTTAGAAATTATTGCTCTAATTTACATAAAAATAGAATAAAAGTTACCATTATGAGGAAGAGAGTAACCAGATATTGTTCAGGCATTAATGTTGATGAGCAAGTTCAAAGCCATTTTCTTTCTTCTTATGGATCTTTATCTATGAATTGAATTTGGGCTAGAGAATAAAGTAAAGATTGGTTTTGAGTAAAGAAGAGTCCTCTATAAAATAGGGAACACAACTACCCTAAAACTGCATCTCAGCAGGCCAGTCTCAACATCTCATGCAAAAGCATTGATTCCCAAACATGGGGCTGCAGATATTGATGGAAGGCCTGGCCATTGGCTGTATTCGCCTGGGCTTTTAGGAATTGCAGTACAAGGGTATCTGTGGCTCCAGCTTCGGGAAGCACCATTTTACAGTATCCAGACCTTCTGGTGCATGGTTGCACCCAATATAAACAGGAACAAAGCCTCAGATGGGGGCTTGGGCAAGAGTGGCTAATTGATTGTTCTGAGGGTGGCACAAAGAGTCCTTTACAGTGGTGCCTCGCACAACGGGTGCCTCGTAGAGCGATGAATTCGCTCTACGAGGCTGTTTTTGCGATCGCAAATCTAATGCCTGAGGGGTTTTTTTGGGGGGTGGGGGAATGATGTTAGAATTTACATCGCATAAAACCTCCTTTGGCTTATACCAAGAAATCGGAGACCGAACCTTGGCAGAATTCTTTTGTGAGACCTTGTGGGAATTATTTTTTGGACTGCGAATCCCACACTTCTCTCTTCTGGGATGTGTGCGTGTGTTTCTACCTGACACCTTACAAAGACCTCAGTGTGGCTCGCCTGGGGGAAAGGCCTAAACTAGGCCTGGAACTTTGAGGCCTAGCTAGGCCTAGTTCCACCTGACTTCCTGTTCAGACAGGAAGTTCCTGGGGGACAGAAGCAGGAAGGGATTGAACTGTTGAAATCTAAAAAAAAGAAGGTAGAAGGACGGGATAAAAATCAAACCAATCAATATTTTTATTTATTTATTTATTTATTAAACGTACATGCCGCCCATCTAGATATAGTCTACTCTGGGCGGCTTTCCTTTGAAGAATCAGTCTACACAGTACTCAGATTCAGCAAGCTTAACATAACACATACACAACAAACATAGTAGAGTCAGTGTGGAGTAGGGTAACATATAGAGTAACATGAGCACCCACATGCACAAGTAGTGATTGCAGCAAGGAATAATCAGAAATACAGATTAATTGAAGGGCTCTTTACATCTTTTGCTGATTTGGCAACCCACTAGAGAGGAAATTCAGTGATTTCTGAGTTTAGATTCCATTTTGTCTTGGCAGCCATGGTTGAAAGGTTAAAACACCTGGTCCACATACAGAAAGTCCCTTTTCTAATCCCTGGTTTTCTTTTGTTGGATTCTGTAGCAAATGAAGGGAAACTCCTCTCCCTGAAATTCTGTTGCCTGTGAGACCAAACAATACTGGGCAAGATGGACAAATAGCTTGTCACAGTGTGAAGCAGTTTCATTGTTCTTCAATTGTAAACACTATTTGTAAATTATTTCAACGGTTAAAATAATATGTGCAATTTTAATAGAGCCTTTTATCATATTCTGGCCAGTAGGAAGAGTCTGTGGGGTGTAAGTGCCTCGCGAGCACAAGCCCAGCAGGCCAGTGCACCACCTTGGAAGATTGCAAGTCAACACGTTGCTATGACAAGTTCTGAAGCTCAGCTGAAATTTTTTTCTCTCTCTCTTGGCTAAATCTGGCTCTCCAAGATTTCAACATTAGCATACAAAGGGAGGGGCCTTTGACCTTTTGCCTATTGATTGATTGATTGATTGATTGATTGATTGATTGATTGATTGATTGATTGATTGATTGATTGATTGATTGATTGATTGGATTTTTATCCTGCCCTTCTAGACAGGAGTCTGCTCACAATATATTATACACAAAAACAGATTTTAAAACAATTAAAATCTACAATAATAACATAATCAAGATGGGAGAGTAAACAGCAGAAACCAAGAAAAATAGAAATCAAGTATTGGCAGGAGGGAAGGCCTGTCTAAAGAGCCAAGTTTTTAATTGGCTCTTAAAAACACCCAATGTGGGTGCCAGGCAGATCTCTGGCGGCAAACTATTCCAAAGTTGAGGGGCTGCCGTTGACAAGGCCCGGTTTCTTGTTTTTTCCTTCCAGGCCTCTCTTAGTGTCAGGCCCCTCAACCGCCTTTCCTGACTATGGTGAGTGACTCAAGTAGAGCTGGGTGGGAGAAGGTGTTCTGCCAGGTATCGAGGCCCTAAACCATTTAGGGCTTTATATGTCATCATCAACACTTTGAAGTCAATGCGGAAGCGAATGGGCAGCCAATGCAAAGCAGCCAGAATGGGAGAGATATGTTGGAATTTTCTCGTTCCACTCAGTAATCTGGCTGCCGCATTCTGCACCATTTGAAGCTTTTCTATTTTACAAAGAACTTTGAGTGAACCTACTGCTGGCACTGCATATTGGCTGCAGATATCATGGAGGTCTTGGAGGAGAGTGTACTGTCCCAGTGTTGGAGGGCTCACTGGGTATATCGGGTTTGGACACAGTGGTCAACAGTCTCTAGCATTTTGAATATGAATATCTCTGCTTCTCAACTGGTGCTTGGACCTGGGGTGTCCTCCTTTGGCACGAGTGTTTCTTTAGCCTGTATGTCAGTATCTAAGCTAGTGCTGGAGGCCTCGATCGTGACAGGATTGCATCTCAAGATATGCACTTTATAAATACCACAGATGAGAAAAAGAATGTGCACATTTTGAGAGTATAATATAACTGTCTAGATGGGACAGGTTTCTATGAAAATGAGGGGGAGGTTATCAAGTTGTAGAACAGAAAAACACAGACCATGCTTTCATAATCTATTTTTTTCTTGTTTTGAAAATTCTGTGGAATGTCTCAGCATAGTATCTATGAATTGAGCAATTTGCATCACAGAATTTTACCTCTGTCCCCTACACCACTTTTTGAAGAACAGACAGACACCATATCATTAAATGTGCCATTAAAATGTAATTCTTGATCTTGTACCTTTCTGTGAACAAAAGTATTTTCTTTCTGTTTCTTTCTCTACTCCAGTTTGTTGTCACAATGTTTTGGAGCATCTATCTCTATGACAGAGAACTAGTTTACCCAAAACTTCTTGATAATTTTATACCAACGTGGCTAAATCATGGAATGGTGAGTAGAATTAACCAAATGCTTTTCTTGCTTTTAAAGGGCACTGTTAATAGACTAGATTACTGGTAGGTAACTGTGGATCTCCAGAGAGTTGAACAACCCCCCTGATTTTAGCTGTGCCGGCTAATGCTATTGGATAAAATAGGCCAAAAACATTTGGAGACTACACTAGTCCACTATGGTGTGGATCAGGTAGTAATTTCCAAACCTGGTCACTAAATGTTGGTGGACTTCAACTCTCAGAAGCTAATGTGGCCAGTGGTCAGAGATTCTGATACTCAGTCCGGTGGCATCCAGGGACTGACATTTGGGAATCACTAATATAAAGTGATACGTGTACCATGAAAAACATCCAGAAATGTTGGCAGTTTAATGAAGAAGAAATTATTATGGTTTTTTGAAGTGCACTTAGGTTTTCTCCAGCAAATGAGGAAATTAAACTCATGTCAATTTTACGTTACCCTATATTTATTTATGTGAGTTTTCTTCATTAGATTTAAAAACTATAGTGGCACCATATTAATTGTGTTAAAATTCGTTTCACTGAAAAGTACGATCACAACCTGAAGTGAGATCAAAGAGCAGCCAGACTGCTTATGGAAACAAGAACTAGAGTGGGAGTGCAAAGTGGCTTGCCAAATTCATTTTCTGATTTTTTGATGCACAACTAAATAGCAAATCAAGATATGTGAAAGAATGCTCCACCCCCAAAATCAAATAGCATAGTGAAATGGTGGAAGAATTCTCATCTTCTTTCCTGAACAGGCCGATTGGTTACCTGAGCTAAGGTAAGAGGGGCTTTACCATCTCTTAACTTGGTTTTCATTGCTAATCTTTGGCTGGTGCATTTTGGAGCTTCACAGGACCTGATCCCATTATACTTGGAAGCTGTTTTGCACATATATTATTTCAATTGGTAATATGCTGTTATCACGTGCAGCGTATTTTTATGACTGCATTTTGGAGAACAGGTGCAATCTTCTGGTTCTCTTTATTCAAAGAGAGAATATGCGTTAGTGAATTTTTTAAAAATAAAAGTTTTTTCTATTAATGTATAATATGAACAAATGTTTTAGGATAATAACTTAAATCCAAAGAAAACCCGAGCCATTGGAAGGCAAATATCAAAACATTCCATTCTTCTTCCTCATCTTCCTTCCATTACTTAGATTTTCTTTTACAAAAACTCTCTTTGTCTTCAGCAACCTTTACCGTACCCCATCTCATTTAGGAATGTCCCCTGAACTTTCAAAGGTCAAGGGTGGAGTGGATTACAGAGGCAATGTAAAGTATAGTCATCTTCTGATGACTGTACATTTCTGAAACCAAACCAAAGTCCTCAGGCATAGAATTATTGCTGAATTTATGTAATATATATTTATATTGTTTTCTTTAATAGAAATCTGAGACAACATTATATAAAACTACTATGATTTGACAGCAATGAGTGCACCTATACCATACGTGGATGTCAAGTACTTAGTTGCTATTGTCATTAATGGTTCTGTTTATATTTTGCTGTGATCCAGATAGCTTGGCCCATCACCTATGCAGGTTTCTACTTTTAACAGCAATCTCCCCTTTATCTTTGTCCTTTAAGATGGTGGAGAGGATCACTGTATAGTGACAGAACACATGCTTTGTGTACACAAAAAGACATTTGGCTCAGTTCCTGTTCATTTCCCATTAAAAGGATCAAGAAGGACATCATAGGAAAGAGTAAAGCCTTTTTTGGCTTGAGACCTTGGAGAGCTCCTGCCAGTCAAGACAAACCATAAGGAAGCAGGTGGCAAAAACGTCTGACCTTGTAAAAGGCAGCAGTGGTTCCCAACTTTGGGTCCTCAGAGACCTTGCTAACCAGGATTTCTGGGAGTTGCAGTCAAGAGCAATTGGGGACCCAAGGTTGGGAACCACTGGCCTAGACTAGACAATCATGATGGGCGAATAGTCTGAGTTGGTAAAATATAACTCTTACGGACTAAGGAAGGGTTGGGTTTACTTACTGAGTAGATCTAATTACTTAAAAGCCCATCCCCCACTCAAAAAAGAATTACCACCAGTCAGCATCCCTCAGACAGCATGACTGACAACCTAATGCTGTCTAACTTAGTGTCCATGTTACATTTTACTCAATACTATCTGAATTTTGGGGAGTTTCCAGGTCCTTCTGCTAAGGATCTTTCCCTTCAGTCCAGCTCTAGTAGAAAATAAAAAGGAGGGAATTTTAGATGTATTTTATCAAAGCTTAAAAGACATAAAATGTAATAAAATATTGTGAAGTACCTTAAAAAGCCAATAGTAATTTATTGTGTTAAGTCCTGCACATTAGAAAGTGTCTAGTAAGATATTCCACTTAAAAAGGTAACCAGCAACAAGCAGCTACAAATATGCAACTAGTGCTTACTGCTTGCAACTAGAAATCTTCTCAGTCACTGTTATCTCAAATTGTTTGGAATGAATATAGACTGTAGCATAAAATAGCATATTAATTGAAAAGAAGAAAGCAGACACAAGAGATTTGTAGAAAAATGTTTTTGCTTATTGATAATTCGAATACAAATTTTCTTGATGACATACATGTATTGTTTTCTATTATATAATGTTAATGGAGTGGGTATGGAGACAAATTATTTCCACCCAGTTGTTTTTTGTTTTGTTTTTGTTTTTTGATGTTTTACTGTTAATTCCCAAATTAATTGCTATTTTGGGAATTAAAACACCAAAAACAAAACAAAAGCTGGATATGTTGCAGTGAAATGGGCAAAAGAAGAACAAGGAGCATAATAATTGTAATAACTACACAAACAGAATTCCAAATGAAATAGTAGCATCAACCTTATTTAGGAAAAGCATTTTATGTGCTTAAAAAGGTATGTGCTTCAGAGTACATGCATAGTTTTTTCAAGGTAGAAGACAAGACCAAATCCGAGCTTCTGATGACATATTGCCAGGAAGACAAATACTGAGGATGGTGTCTCGCATGTTTTTGGGAACCAGAAATCAGTAAAATCTGTCCATTAATAAAGAAAGATTCCTCTAGTAGCAAGATAAGCTTAATTTTTGATATGACTGATGTACCCAGCCAGTTGGGAAATTATTTAGAAGGTAGATCCATTTCTGTAATTACTCTGAACTTGCATGTCAAAAGATCTGGCCAGTTGTACCTAGCTAGCTGCAGCACCATAAAGCAGATTAACGCTTAAATACTTATTCAGAAACAAAATGAAGGATATATGTTTGTTCATTCTCCACTATGGGTCTGATAAATCCCAGACATTCTAGATGGTACTATTGAGCCACATTAGAATATTGGGTTCATAATACAACCTTCAGATTGCCATAGTTAATGTGGTACAATGGACCACTGTTGAAAGAGAAAATTAGCCCATGTGTCTACACATACCTCATTGTATGTGGTTGTGCATCCGTAGGGGATTCTTTGGATTACTGCTTTCAGTATATTTGAAACAAAAGCTTTGTTCAATATTTGGGAGAGCTTGTATGGAAGAAGAGGAAACGTGGCCGTGCCGTCTCCATTGTTGCTCTGCTGATCCAAGGAACAGGTCTGGAAAAGGAAGATTCGTCAATTTGTTATGACTTGCCACATGAGCCAGAAAACAAGGAAATCTAACAGGTCTGGAAAAGGAAGATTCGTCAATTTGTTATGACTCGCCACATGAGCCAGAAAACAAGGAAATCAATGGTTCTGGCTGACATGGAAAGACTTCCTCAATTGACAGATTTATCCTCCTCAAAGGTATCACTTTGTGCATGCAAGTGACTGTGGAGGGCTTGGGGCT